TGCCTGTTGTGATCACATCCTTTCTGGAAGGCCCAGCTCCCTTGTGAAGTCTTTGTTCTTTCTACAGTTACTCTCCCCATTCTGAACCCTCACAGCATTTTGCCTATACCTCTTCTAAAGCAGCTATGACAATTATTTGGGAACCGGCTTCTATTCACTAATTAAAATTTTAATATTCATGATTATTACCAATTACTTACTTACTGGGGTTTCCTAATGCCAGGCATTGTGTTAAGTGCTTTGTACACATTAACTCATTTAATCTTCATTACATCCCATAAAGGATGTAAAAATGAAAATAATAATAACCTACCTCATTGGTTTATTGTGAGAATTGAATGAGGACTTCATGAAAGTTCCACGCTTCTGAGTTCCATGCCTGTGAGCCTGGCAGGTTGTGAGTCCTCAATACATGTTTGCTATCACCATCATCATTATTATCATCACGATCATCATCATTACCATGATCATCAAATCCATTTTACAGAAGAGGAAACTGAGTCTCAAAGTAATTTACATATAATTACACCACTAGTAAAAAGTGAAACTTGTATACTGTGTGAATTACTGCCTTATAACACATTTTAATGTAAATCCTTTCAGGGCAGACATTGGATGAACACATCTTCATACCCCTTTAGAGTTGAGCACAGAGCCTGACCCAGAAGCAGCCTATAAGCATATGATGAATAAATAAGGCCCATCAAAAACTGTCAGATCTTGCTTGGTGGTTTCCACCAACTGCCATCTAATAGTTTATTTTCCTGTGTGGGGGGAAAATGTACACACCTGGTATAGGCTTTTCTGCATATAGGTTTGAATATAGGTTTCCTACTTGTCAATCCTTTCAAATGACACACCTTCCTTACGCTATTAAAAATGTCCTCTTCCAATGCAGGATGTAAACAAACCCAACTATTTTCACAATTTTAACATGAGCAAAGTATGTATTCATGGTCCAAACTCTGCAGCCGTCCTGCCCAGACACATGCACATGAGTGAATGGACATGAAGTGCATTAAGCACACCCACACTTTTCTCCTGTCTCCCTCATCTTGTAGTCTCAGCTCAGGCTGCTTAGGTTTTGTTTATGTTGCCATAAATTAAAGGGCATGCTTTTTACATGTCCTGAATACATTTCACTCAAGATGACAGAGTATGGGAAAAGTGGTTTCCCTAACCCTCTCAAATGTCCCTCTCAAATGTCACACGGAGGAGCGTGCTTCGCAGCCAGGCACCCTGATACCTGAACAGGGGCATGACCATCTGAAATTAATACATGATCAACAGTAAGCTGCCCATCGGCCAGAGATGGAGGGAGATCATTTTCACCAATGCATGACTGAAGCCTCTCACCCCAGGCAATGGTGCACCTCTCAGCTAACCATGAAAATCGGTCACATATGTCTCCTGCTCTCTTATGCAGCTGCGATTTGGCCACAATATTTCAATTTGTTTCACCAACATTTTCTAAGTGACCTATGACTTCATCATAGTCCCAGATAGTCCCCTTGTGCAGAGCCCCCACACAGAGGCCTGAAGTCAACAATAATTGCTGAATCTCAAATATCCAGGGTCCCACCCATCCTGGCTTGGCCCCCATTGTGCTGAAACCAGGTCAGATCCAGGGCTCTCAGCCACACTAGGAAAACTGCTGAGACCAAGCTGCTTGTCCAAGAGGAGAGGCTAAAGGTTAGTATCTAAGGGTGAAAAAAACCCCACCCTTCTTACAGAGGCATGTTTTATACAGCATGGTGATTACAAAAGTAACATGTACACAAGATGCATGCATTCATCCCACCTAATAAAAATGAAAAGATTGTGATTTTCTGTAGGTCATTTTATTTGACCTCTCTTCACCTTCACAGCAATCAAATTGTCCTGGTGTCATTATCCCCACTTTACAGATAAGAACACTGAGGCTCAAAAAGTTTGAGTCATGTGCCTAACGTTATTCAGCCCATTAACAGTAAAGTCAGGACGCAGATGTTGGTTATGTGATTTGAGCCAGGAACCATTTTATGTGTTAGGGGCAGAGGGAAGCTCTGGCAGTGGTAGTCAACCATGGTATCACCTGAAAATCACCCAGAGATCTATAAAAATTAACACCCCCCTCATGAGTGTCCCTGACCAACCCCAGACCAATTGCATCAGAATCACTGGGGGAAAGGGCTCAGATACGGTTATTGCATTAGTCAGGGTTATCCAAAGAAACAGAACCAATAGGGTGTGTATATATAGAGAGAGATTTATTTTAAGGATTTGGCTCACTTGATTACGGAGGCTGACAAGTCCAAAGTCTGCCAGGTAGGCTGGCAGGCTGGAGACCCAGGAGAGAGTTAATGTTCCAGTTCAAGTCCAAAGGTCAGTCTTTCATTCTATGCAGGCCTTCAACTGACTGGATGGGGCCCACCCACATTAGGGAGGACAATCAGCTTTACTCAAAGTCTATTGATTTAAATGTTATTCTTATCCAAAAACACCCTCACACAAACATCCAAAACAGTGTTAAACCAATCATCTGCACACCATGACCCAGTAAAGCTGACACATAAAATTCACCATCACGGGTATTTGTAAAGCTGCACAGGGGCTTCCACTGTGCAGCCAATGTGGAGAGCCACTCATCTGTCATTTCACATACTCATCACTGTCTCCAACCTCTTCAGAACCAGAATCCACCTAACCATTAACAAATTGCCCAGGATAGAGAGAGACAAGGCATCTGTCCAAACCAGGTACTGCTTCTTTTGTGGAAATTAGCAGAGTGGTTTCTGTGGGAATAGCCAAGTGGTACATTTGGAGTTCTGCTAGAAGGTAGGCAGAGCAATCGTATCATGCGCAGGCCATTTTGGCTGCAGGTTGCAAATGCTTTCTGGTGAATGGCCAGTAGGTAGTCTCTTTATTCTCTTCTCTAGGCCCTCTCAAAGCAGAATTCCCTATCTTAGAGGGAAGGTTTAATTTTTACAACTTGAAAAAAGCCAGAATGAAATGGTTCATTTGCACCTGGCCTATGGCTTGACAAGAAATGCTGGAGGCTAGTGTTGAAAGACAATAAATCTTACCAAGATGGCAGGAAAATTTGTAGCCGGAGCTGGACAAAGCATCTTCTATAGCAGTGAATTCAGAAAAGCTGATAGGACTGGCTGATAGTATATTTGCAAAATTTAGAAGCCCCTCTCTTGTTGTCTGAGAAAGTTTGAAAGTACAAAGCATTATGCCACTGAAGCATCAAAAGGCAGTATGCTTGTCTTATTTAATTTGGTTTTAAGCATCAAAACTTTGGTATTTTGTGGTGCATTGTTTTGGAAACATTGAGATGCATTTTACATAAGCTTAATTAACTCAGAATAAGTAAAGAGATTCACAGCAGCAAATCATTTGCTGGAAGACGGTTTTTTCGGGTCAGGATCCCTATTGCAGCGCAGGAATGCCTCCCGGGAATCTGAGCATGAATCCTAGGTGACATACTCCTCCCAGCTGCCCCCTAGGATGCAGGTACTGCCACTAGGTCAAGGCTCAGAGATGCCTACCAAGTTGCCACTTTCTCCTTATAGAATTCTTTCTCTTCCCATTTCTTTTTCTGGCTTAATCCTCTTTTTGTTCACTTCAGTTTATAACACAGATGTTAGCTAATAATGATTTTTATCTTGATCCTCCAACTTCCCAAAGGGATATTTTAAAAGGGACTTTTTCTATGATAAAATGGCAGGCCATAGGATAATTCCAGCAGGTTGGGGAAAGAGATTTGGGAAGGAGATGTATTAGAAGGCTTAAATTATACCACGTGACTGGTTCTCATGGCTTTCAGTTATAACTCACTGTAACTTTGCCACCGGTTATGGCTGAATTGTGCCTCCTCCCTGAAAAAAGGATATATTGAAATCCTAACCGTCAGTACCTCAGAATGTGACCTTATTTGGAAACAGGGTGATAAAGTTAAAATGAGGTCATTAGGATGGGCCCTGCTATGGTTTGACTGTGTCTTCTCCAAAATTTAGGTGTTGAAACTTAATGGCCAATGTGATGAAATTAAGAGGTGGGACCATTAAGAGGTGATTAGGCCATAATGACTCCTCCCTCAAGAACAGAATTAAATCGCTATTAAAAGAGGCTTAATACAGCATTCAACTAGCCTGCCCTTCCACCTTCCACCAAGTGAGAGCACCACATTCCTCCCCTCCAGAGGGTGCAGCATCAAGGCACCATCTTGGAAGCAGAGAGCAGCCTTCACCAGAAAACCAAACCTAGCAATGCCTTGACCTTGGACTGACCAGCCTCAAGAACCATAAGAAAGTAAATTTCTGTTCTTTGTAAACTACTCTGTCTCAATTACCCTGTTAGAGCAGCACAAAGTGGACTAAGATAAGCCCTATTCCAATATGACTGGCGTCTTTATAAAAGGGGCAAATTTGGACATACGGACAGACACACAAAGATAGAAGATGATGTAAAGACCAGAGAACATATGTGAAGATGAAGGAGTGGATGATGCATCTGCAAGCCAAAGAATGCCAAGACTGCATGAAGCTAAGAGGCAGACATGGCACAATCCTTTCCTACTGCCTTTAGAGGAAGAACAGACCTGTTGACACCTTCATTTCAGATTTCTAGACTCTAGAATTGTGAAGCAACAAATTTCTGTTGTTCTAAGCCATCCATTTGTGGTTCCTTGTCACAAAATTTCTGGGAAACTAATATACCACCCAGTTTTACCTTGTAGCCAAGGCTCTTGTATCAATTGTCTATTGCCGCAATAAAGCAGCACAACAAACCACCACAAAATTTCAGTTGCAAACAACAACAAACACTAGTCAAACTCATCAAGTCAGTAGGATCCAGCTAACTTGAACTGAGCTCAACCAATCTTTGCTAGGCTTTCTTAAGAGGTCTCTGTCAGCTGCACATCAATCCCTCAATTGTTCCTGCCAATAATAGTGGCTTTCTCATCATGTTGGCTGGTTGCTAGGTGATATAGGTTGGCCTTAACCAGAATGACTGGGGCGACTCGGCTTTTTTCACCTATCTCATTTTCCAGCAGGCTAGCTCAAACATATTTCTCTCAAGGCAACAGCAGATGGCAAGAGCACAAGCAGAAATAAGCAAGTACCTTTTCAAGCCTCCATTTGCATGATGCATGCTAACATCCAATTATTCTGAGTAAGTCATGTGGCTGGGTCCCTTGTAGAGCACTATAAGATTAAAGGACTATGGGTCAGAGAGGGGTATAGAATAAGGGCCCTTAATGCAATCAATCTACTATAGCTCTGATTCCAGTGTAAAACTCTCAGAAATAGGGCAGTAAAGTACTCCCTGAAAAAACCCCTAGCATTTTTTCTGTGCTTGGACAAGTCTATCTTGTTCATCACAGCACCTTTATCCAGCTATTCATTGTTCATAGGGATTGACTCTAGGCTAAGAACTCTAGAGTATACACAAATAAGTAAGGATTAGGTCCTACCAATATAGACATAACAGCCATGAACACAAAAAGTGTCAGCATGATGAGGACCTTAAGAAGGACCAAAGAGGTACCAATAAGTTATCACAGGGTTGAGATTGCCAAATACCACGATCTGCAGAAGGGTCTAAACCCATAGTAAAATTATCAGAAGTCTAATGTGAAATGATGCAAAAAAAATGTAGACAGATTTTTTTGGTAGCATTAACTCTGTTCTACCTTAAAAACTATTGTTTATTCAGAAATCATATCCTTCCTGCCTTTGAAATTAACACATTAACTTTTATAAAATAGAAAAGAGTTTTGTTTGTGCATTTTTAAACATCATTCCTTGGTAAAATAAAAGTTCTCAATCCAAAATCTATCCTTCCCAAATTCCCAAGTTGTTTCTTGATTTTACCCCAATAGTCTGTGCATCATAGCTAGATAGAAGGGAGTGAACACTTTCAGAGGAATCATTCCACAGAAAAGGGATCATCTGAGGCAGGCCTTGAAGGGTGTGCTGGATTTCAGGACATGGAAATGACTATGAATGGAATGGAGCCTAGAAAAGGTGCATGGTGCGGAGGAAGGCTAGGGCATCTCTATTCACAGTCAAGAGTAAAGTTTATCTGGGAACCCTCGAGCAGCTGAAGTTGCTGGAGGCAGGGTTCCTTGAGAGCAACAAGCATCACCTTGAGGTCCATCTTCCCTTCCTTTAGCAGGCCTGTTTTGACCTGGCTGCAACTGACTCCTGGAGATTGTCTCCAGCCACACATTTTGAAGGTTTCTCACCGTTGCTACAGGCTATTGGTCAATTTGCCTCTATTCCTGCTCCATCTACCAGTGGCGCTTACTGGAAATCAGCTTTCCATACCCTTCCTTCCAGTTGCTGCTTCTCCTACTGATTGGATGAGACTGAAGCTAATTTTTTTCTGTCCTGAACCATCTGCTTACTGGCATTCTTCAGGGTTGTCCTATTGTGATCCACCCCAATAGGCATCCTTGATGCAAAGACCACATTCTCATCTCAACTGAGCAAGAATAACAATAGAAATTATAATATTATTTATTTGATATTAAATCAAAGCACAGCTACAGAACAGAACTCTTTAGACCCAAGTCAGTCTGATTCAAAAACTGGTGTACTCCGCCATCTCCCCATACGCACACATGTACATACTACAATAACCTCCTTGATGTTTTCATTGCCACAGATACTACTGAAAAAGTAGAGTAGGCCCAACATCCTAGTTACTACCCAGCCCTAGTAGCCCAGGTTCAAACATCACTTGGGAATCATAGAATTGGATAGTTTTCTTTTCAGCTAGAATTTTGAGGTTGGGTTTAGATTGGAAATCACCTCTGTTCATCTGGAGTAAGGGCTTTTAATACTTTTTGACAGTTTATACTTTGGAGCTCTGTGGCTCAGAGTTACCATCAAGGGGCCACTGCATGAAGTCCCACAGAATTTAGTGGAGTTGGAGGATGGAGAATTCCATTGTCCTCATTTCACATGTGCTACCTCAGGGCCCAAACTTCAGGACAGCTCGGTGAATGAAATGATGACATTTGCCAAAAATAGCAGTTATACGACACAGAACCTCTGAGCACGTGAAATTGAATGGCAATGTATTGTAAGATTTTGAACACAAATCTAGGATAAGGTTAACATAACACTCTTTTTTAAAAGTCACCAAAAGAGAATGCTTTCAGTGCAAAAAGACTTCCATTTGCATAACACCTTACACTTCTCAGCATACTCTCACCTCATTGGATACAAACTAATCACTAGCATAACAAACTAATATCATCTCTTTTTTACCGAGGAGAAAGTCAACAGCTGATCAGAGTCAACTGATCTGTGCAAAGTTATGTGGCTTTTCAATAATGGATATGAGATTAGAATTCAGGACAGGTATTTTTGTGGCCCAGTCTACTCAGATAAACACAATTAAGTTAGTTTTGTTGTCTTGATTTGTTTTGTTGGCCTGTTTCACTTTGCTGGAGAATCCTGATTAACCAATTAGATTATCTGGAACTCATGGTGCTTTGTAAATGGAATAGTTGCCTACAGCAATCTCAGACCATGTAAGTGGGATCACTCAATTGACTTAACCAGAAAAGAGGTCTATGCTGCATAAGTGGAAAAGAAGACATACTCAGATATTTGGACATTCCTTCAAGATTGTAGAACCTCATTACCATGAGTGTTCTGATCCAAATCAGATGGGCACAATGTGAGGGAAGAGTCTCCCAGCCCAGTGTCATATTGAGGACACTCTATTGGCAACAAGCAATGCCAGAATTCTATCTAAAAGAAGTTTTGTTAGGGATGGCAGTTCCCACTGGAAGGTGTTTATGTGTTGCATTATATGTTACGGATCAAAAAAAATTTTTTTCTGAAGTAGCTTTCAACTAACTTTGCATAAATTGAGAAAATTTAAACTTCACCTAAAAAAGAATATTAGAAACTATTAGAATATTGAAAAATTAGAAAATATTAGAATATTAATGGTAGCAGTAGTTGTGGTAGTAGGGTGACCAACTTTTTCCGGTATGCACAGGACTGTCTCAGATATACAACAAAAGCCCCACGTTTCAGGGTCTCTGTCCAACCCATCCCAAACAAGTTGAAACAGTTGATCACTCTAAATGATGGAATAATATTAATAATTGTTATTATTTATGTTTTTATTATTATCAGAAATGGCTAGAGGGGAATCTGACGGAATCGTGTGGTACTTAAACCTCAAAGCCACCCTTTTGGTGTTGCCACTGACTGCCTAAATTGGGTTATTTGGTGGCAAGGTATCAGTAACCAATGAAGCTGGTCCTCAAGGTTGTCATCCTTCCCCAGTGGCCACGTTCCTTCACCCCATCTGGACTTTCAGCATCAATCTACTCAAGTGACCACCAAATATCACCAAACCTAGTTGAATGCTTCATTGGGCCTCATCCTCTCTCAGTAGCATCTGTTCCCCTCTGAGTGTAGGGAACTCTTGGGGCTATCCTGAGCAATAATCTCTACTCTGGGTTCTTAGTTCATCCCCAGGGGTCTCTCCAGAAGCTCAAGGTTTCTCTACTCGCAGGTGCCCCTAAACACCTCTGGAGTTTCTGTTGTCCCGAAAAGAGCAAGAGGGACAATAAATACTACTTGTATTAGGAAGAAGAAAGCAAATGGGGTTGGGAATGCTGAAAGAGTTGGGACTGAAGATGTATTCTGAAGGTATGGTAAGGTTTAGATAGGAACTAGAAAGAGGAAACACATTTCAAGTGGGGGAAAACACATGAACAAAAAACTAAAGGGTGTTAACAAATGTAGCTTGGGGACTGAGAGGTAGATGTGCCTTAAGGAGAGGGTAAGGGAGGTGGAGACTAAACCCTCGACAGTGGAGAAGGAAAGATCTATACTCTTTATTCAATAGACCAGTGTTTCTCAAACAGGACTGATTTTTCCCCCACAGGGAACATTTGGCAATGCCCAAAAACATTTTTGGGCCTGTCACGACCCAGTGGGGATGTAATTTGGTCTGAATGTTTATGTCCCCACAAAATTCTTATGTTGAAATCCTCACTCCCCTCCAAGGTGATGGTATTAGGAGGTGGAGGCTTTGGGGGTGATTAGGTCATGAAGGTGGGGATCTCACAAATAAGATTAGGGCCCTTATGAAAGAGACCTGAGAGACCTCTCACTCCTTCCACCCTCTGGGGTTAGAGTTAGAAGTTGGCTATCTGTGAGGAAGTGGGTCCTCAAGAGACACCAAATCTACTGGCCCCTTGATATGGGACTTCCCAGTCTCTAGAACCATGAGAAATAAATTTCTGTTGCTTGTAAGCCACCCAATCAATGACATCAATGTCAATAGCACCAAGGTTGAGAAACCTTGCAATAGACAATGGGGAGGCACAGGAGGTTTTTGAGCAGGAAAATGACAAAATGATGTTAATGCCGATAGCTTCATAAACCTAAGAGGAAATTAGTTAGCACAAGAACATCTCTCTTTATGCAATGGAGCATTCCTAAAAAGTTTTAGGTTTTTTTGTGTGTTTTTCTTTAAAAAAAAAAAAAAAAAAAAACAAAAAAACAAAAAAAAAACAATGTTTTAGGTATTCTATTTTATTTTAAATGTACTAGAGCAGCTACTAGACAAATCTGGGGGTGAATACACTTAGAAAGTGAAGAATCTTTCCAATGCAAGCATCATTCCTATCTCATTCTGATATATCCAAATGGCTGTACTTCAGTGTCTCTTAAAGTGGGTTACACCTAATTTTCTGTTTCAGAGACTGGAGGACAATGCAGGCTTCCCCCCAAGGAATGGAAGATGAGAAAACCAGATTCCCTGGCACGTGCCCACTGTCTGACCCAGAGCAGCTCTATATTAGATAATTAGCTGGTTCTAGGATCATCATTTCTTTTTCTCCATGATTTATTGACTCTTAAATGCAACCATTTCTTCACCCTGTCATTGTCGAGCACTTAACCCAAAATTTTATTGAAATCAAGAGATGTTTTCCTTGCTATTACATTGGGAGCAGAATACGATCCTTTGAACACTTCCAAAGTTCATTTTTGTTTCTCAGTGACTGCTTTCAAGTTTTCAAACAAGAAAGGATTTTGTTTTTCTCTGGCTAAAGCTTATTTTTACCCAACCTTGGTTTTCTTTCCTTTCCTTTAAAAATCCTCAGCACATCTAAGTACACTAAATATTTATGAATGTAATTTATGAGCTTTGGCTGTTTACTCCTTGCCAAAACTAAAAAGTATGACTGTGTGTGGCCTGAAAAATCCCAACTATGACAAAACCAAAACAGAGAAATGAGCAACTACTTCACATAAAAAAAAGGGAAAAAGAGGTCAAAATTTACAAAAGTCCAGAAAATACTCACTTGACATATTCAGACTGGCACAAAGAAAAATAAATAATATTACATCTCCTCCAAGGACCTTGTCCTATATGTACTGCCTCAGATGTCCTGCGGTAAACATTTATTGAGAGCATCAGGAGGGAAAATGGCCCAGGCATCTGAAAGACAGAGGCCTGCAGCTTGTTGGGCAGCTAGGGCCCAGGATACTGCCCACTTCAGCCCTGACCCCCAAAGCCTGTGTCAGCTGCATGCCCTGAGCGCTTAACTGTGCAGGGAGGGAAATCAGCAGATCTCTAATGAATTCCTGATCTGACTCCAATCCCTCCCTTCCTTGAACACATTTCTTTGGAGAATCAAAACCCAACATCTGGAATTTGGCTTTTAACTGTCACAGGATGTCTCCAATGCTGGCTCTTGTTTCTGGAGTTACATAATTTCTCCTAAGGAGCTTTTTTCTCACTTCAAAAAGAAAGTGAGAGAGATTGCGGAGGAAATGCCTATGATATTAAAAAGTCATAAGCACTCATCTGTGATAACAAAAAAGCAGTGGTCCTGGACACACATAGGTTCTGATAGTTAACCATGAACTTGAGGGAATGAGGCCTGGTGGAACTGACCACAAATGAACAGAAACAAAGAGTGTGAGGAAAAGAGGGAAATGCCTCATGATGCGCAAACATTGTGGCAGTGGTTTAAACATCTCAGGAAGGAATTGAAGAATCGTTGGTTTGATAGGCATCTGGTTAGCTCAGACCATCTGATCAAGATAATCTTATAAACCTTCAGTTAATGGTTGGCTTAAAGTCTTTAAGTCTTGCCACTAGACACCTCCTGCATACTGCAAAAGGGCCACCTTGGAAGTGCATACTACACTGTTTGAGAAAGAATCCGAGGCAACTGCAGACGCCTGTCTATAACAGCCAGATCCCAGGCCAGCCCGCAGTATTCACTGGGCAGACCTTGGCTTTTCACCCAAGATTCCACTGGCCCCGCTGACTGGAAATGAGCTTTGTAAACCACTGCTTATTCTCTTGAAAGAGGCAGTTGATCTAATGGCTGATTATTTTCCTGAAGTGGCCCCTTGAACTGGAGTTTCATTCTCCCTATTAAAGGAGAACAGGAATAAATACAATCCAAGAATCATTATAAACAAGAGTTTTAATCTCCTTCTGTTGAAACTTTTACCACAGCTCTAAAATGTCTCAGTGCAGAAGATTCAAGAAAAAAATAGATCCATTCTTAAATGCTCAAGGATTTTAATCTCAAAATGTATGTAAGTTCTCTGCCTAGCCCGGAAATGAGAGCCAAGAACAGCTGTGTGTGTGTGTTTGTGTTTGAGCATGTGTGGTGTTGGGTGGGTGTGACGGCATTGTTGAATATTTTATCCTCTTCCAAGAAACCAGTATTGGTAAGCAGATTACATTGAATTTCCCTGGAATCTCAAGATGTCTGTCCATTCAGAGTGCGTAAACATAAGAAAGCTGTCTAAAGTTGTCATAAAGTCATCGACTTTAAAACTGAACACCGTGTGCCTGGAGCTTCAGATTCAATAGTTAACAGGTATGGTCTCTCCTCAGGAAGCCTATGGTCTAACAGGAGATCTAGATGATGAAATAGGCAATCACCATTTAGGGCAATAAGTGTACATTCATGCCACAATGGGAAGTTTGAGACTCTCTGGAAGCATATATGAGAGTCACCTAGCTCAGTCTTTGGAAGTCAAGCAAGGCATCACGGAAGAAATGACATCTAAGCTGAAATCAGAGAAGCAAGGTAAAAGTTTAAAAGACAAAGGACAGAACATCAAGGCAGAGGCAATCTTAATTGCAAAGCCCCAGAAAGGAAAGTGCATGACTTTTGGCCGAAATGTAATTAACAGGCAATAAACAAAGACAGATTTCATAAAGAGGGATCAGCAAACTTTTCTGTAAAGGGCAGACAGTAAGTAATTTAGGATTTATGGGTCATGCAATCTGTTGCAACTATTCAATTTTGCTGCTGTAACTAGAAAGCACCCATGGACAATATGTAAATGAACGTGTTTTCATAAAACTTTATTTACAAAAACAGGTGGTAGGCCGGACCCAGCTGACATCCTGACTCTGCTGGCACCGGAACCCTCATGTTCTGTGGTCCCCAGGCCAGCAGCATCAGCATCACCTTGGCAGCTCATTAGAAGGGCAGACTCTCAGAATCTCCCTTCTGACCTACAATATGAATTTTACATTCAAGAGATCCCCAGGTTGACAGTGCCCGGTTAAGGCACTTGGTCTCTGTCTTTGATACACTCATGTATGCATGTTTGAAAGATCCCTGTGGCTACAGTACTGCAAGTACACAACAGTACACAACAGCTCCTGAAATTTTGTCTCCCTCGGTGCCCAACTTGCCTCCCTTATACCTGGTCCTGGTGAGGAAAATGGACAGTAGAGGGCAAGATGGCAGGATGGTTTCTCTTTACTCCCAGCCCCTGAAAGCCCACCCCTATCCTACCTCCCTTCACAGCAAAGGCTGACCTTCAAAAACTACTGGAGGTTTATTCTCATTACGCTTCCCAAAGGCTAACCCATTGGGTGTATCTCTAAGTCTCACTTGAAGCCATTCTTCTAGGGACCTCCTACCAGACCAGAGCTGGGCATCGTGTTTCTCTGCTGTCCATTAGGTCCTCCTTTGTTCCCATAGACATTCCATAGCACTCTGGGGGTCCAGCCTTCTGGGCCAGCTCCACCTCTAGAGGTATTTCTGGCCAAATGGGCTTGGTGTCGGCTTCCAGACAAGCACGCAGGCAGCAGCTCTGAGCGTGAGCAGAATAAAGCCCCTTAATTAGGCAAGAGAGGGACTCAGCCAGCTGTGCACACTTGAGGGAAGACATCCATCAAAGAATGCATCTCCCTTCCCTACCTTTTATTTATGCTTTAGAAAATCCAATTAAAGCCAAGCCTGGCACTCTCCTAACTTTCAGCCATTTAACACATACAACAGAGTTGCTGGCCATGAATTTAAACACGCACATACACACACACTCATGCATGCACACAAAATAAACAAGCACACATCCTGTTTCTTCCTTGTGGGCTAGGACTTAGGGACTTTGGGTGTGCCTGTGGACACTTAGCCAAAACTATGACCAAAGGTTGGTCAGAAAATGTCATTCAGCTCCTTTTGTTGGTTTCTCATGTCTTTTCCACTGTATCTGAAGATTATATTTCATCCACGTGCCTTTCCTGCTCATTTGGGCTTGTCCTTGGGGTGATTCACTGAGATTATGCTGATGTGAGCAAACTCTGTGAATGGTTTTCCCTGCTGTTTCACTGGTTTAAGATTAGACTGCCACTTTATAGTCCAACCTTCACTTTGTTGGCAGCGCCTTGATAACGTATGGCCCCGGGAAAGACACCCTGTGGAAATTACTGTAATGATCAGGCCTGGACAGAGTGGACACTGGGAATTTCCTGGTGTAGGGCATGCTGAGCCTCTCATGTCTGTAAATGCCCTGTGCCAGGTCAACTGCTCTGCCACCTGAGTGCAGGAACTCAACACACATGCAGTCAGTCACCTGAGCCCCCAAGAGTAACTTCTCACGTCTACAACCCTGTAAACGCTCTTTCTGTCCTACCAGTGTATTTGGTACATGACAGAGCTTAACATTGTTTAAATGGGATAAACTCCAGGCATAGTGGTTGGGAACTTCGGTTCTAGGGTCGGCCAACTTTAGTATGAATCCCCGTTCTGCTTACTAGCTGAGTAACCTCAAACATGTGACCTAACCTTCTCTATGACTCAGTTTCTCTATATTTTAAAATGAGGATAATGATAGTACCTGGCTCACAGGGTTGTGGTGAGGGTTCTGTGAGAGCATGCACAGGGAGGAGTTGGCAGAGTGAATGGAACATGGTAACACAAACAAATGTCAGCTATAATTCCCAGTGTTTATTATTGTTAAAGCCTTCCCTCTAACTTTCGCTAATCCATGTGTGTCCCTCTCTCACAGCCCACCTTAAAATTCACCTTCTCTCAAAAGCTTTCTTAGCTGAACCCAGTCAGCCCAGGACATGATTTTAGTTCTTGTTCACCAGTACATATAAATAGGGCTGCTAGTGGCTTTGCTTTTATTGGGTTTTCAAAAAATGTTTCCCATTTACATGTTTTATCTCGTCAAGCAAATTATAAATTTCTTAAGGGAAAGGACCTGATCTTGTTTTGCTATGACCCTCCCACACCCTGAGATACTTACCATAATGATTACATGTTAATCATTTTCCCCTTATAGTTTCAATGTTTATTTTAGATTTGGGGATACATGTGCAGGTTTGTTACATGGGCATACTGCATGATGCTGAGGTTTGGGGTACAAATGGTCCCATCACCCAGGTAGTGAGCATAGTACCCAACAGTTTTTCAACCCAGGTCTCTCTCCCTCCCTCCTCCTTCTTGTAGTCCCCAGGGTCTATTGTTGCCATCTGTAACATCTTAATCTTTGATTAATAAATTTTATTTAAGAATATATAGCATAATGTGTATTACAAGTAACATGGATTTGGTTTGGTTTATCATCTGTGGTCCTGTGACCTGTGCACATGGAGGAGCACAGGCTAAATGGAAATTTCCTTTTGTCATTAGAGAGTAGTCAGAATGCCAGCTCTGTAGCCTGATTTCCCAGGTTTGAATTCAAGCTTTTCTTGTTACTAATCGTGTGACTGGGGAAAACTTCCTAACTCTCCCAGCCTTGGTTTACTTATCTGTAAAATGGGAATTTGGGTGA